ATTCTGATTCTGATTCTAATAAGAAAGCACCCCTACAACAACTTCTGAAAGTGAAGGGTAGTGTTTTACTCTAATATTACATAAAAATGTCATTTTAACATTAGTGTAATCATTTTAACATGAGTTTAGGAACTGAATAATAAAATGGAAATATAAAACACTGCTTAGTATTTACTCTATGAATTCAATATGCTCTGATTCTTATTTAAGCTACAAAAGTTATTTAGGTAAGAGCAGTGAGTGATTTTCTCTTTGTCTTTTGTTCATGGCCCCAAATATTGCAAGCTGTGGCGATATGCATATTGCGATATGTACATTTGCGATATTTCGATATATTGCACAGCCCTAATTTCAAGTTTGATAAGTTGTTATATAGGAGGTAGGAATGGCCTTTTTATTTTTCCGAACCTGTTTACACGAGCTCATCTGAGGCCAAGTGCTACTGTATAGCTGTTGTAGCTCAGGGGAAATAGCAGCATGCGATGGGAAACGAGAGAGCCGTGGCATTCCTCATTACTGCCTCTCTGCTGCACATACTGAAGAGCGTAGCGCCCCGTCCCAACCAGTGTTGGGTAACTTACTCTAAAAAAGTAATTAATTACTTGTTGCTAATTACATCTGCAACAATGTAATTAGATTACTGTACAAATTACTCTTTCCAAAAAGTATTTAATTACTTATTACTAATTACTTTCTAAACCTCGACAAGTTAATGAATCATAAAAGGATAGACATGAAACGTTCTTTTGATTCTTTCAAATAAATAATACATAACTACATGAATTATTCTGGTCACACTTTAGATTATGGTCCAATTCTCACTATTAACTATTTTAACTATACTTTTGCCCCAATATACGCCTGATTACTGCTTATTAATACTTAGTAAAGTAGTTGTTGACAATTATGTTTAGGAATTGGGTAGGATTAAGGACTTAGAATAAGGTGTTGCAGAATAAGACATTAATATGTGCTTTGTAAGTAATAATAAACCGCCAATATCCCAGTAATATTCATGCTAATAACCAACTAGTTAATAGTGAGAATTGGACCCTAAAGTGTTACCAATATTCTTATTAATTCACCAAAGTATTTAAAGTGAGAAGGGTTCATAAAAAGCATGCATTTTAAGGTTAGACTTTAAATTTTGATGTTAAATCCAATATTGTATTGTATATAAATGTATATATGAATATTACGTTCAATTACATAAGAAGTAATTAAATGACAGAAAACATAAGAGTAATCCCTTACTTTACTTTTTCAAGGGAAAAGGAATTAAATTAAAGGAGACATATTATGCCCCTTTTTACAATATGTAATATAAGTCTCTGGTATCCCCAGAATGAGTCTGTGAAGTTTCAGCTCAAAATACCACACAGATAATTTATTATATCCTTTTGAAAATGCCTATTTTGAGTGGAAGCAGAAACGCGCTGTTTTTCGTGCCTGTCTCTTTAAATGCAAATGAGCTGCTGCTCCCCGCTCCCTTTTCCAAAATAGAGCTGCGCCATTACAGCTCGTACCTGCTAAAAAACCTTCCGTTTTGGTTCTGATTATCATGTTTATCGCACTGAAATACGGTTTTCTGAGCGCACGCATCCGAAGCACACGGACAGAAAGCGGCTGTCTCAGCATGTGAGTACTAAAATAAGTTCTCTTAATTATTATAATGAGATCCCTTTGCCACGTCACCAAGGGAGCGAAATCAGACGCGCTCGTTTTCTCAGATGCTTGCAGAAAAAGGCTTACCAAAACAAAGTTACTGGGTTTATCTTTTTCACGTTTCCTTGGTCGGTAGATGCACCGGGGACCTGATTATAGCACTTAAAACCTGGAAAAGTCAGATTTTCATGATATGTCACCTTTAAAGTAACTAGTTACACCCAACACAGCACTTTCAACCCCACAAGGACAATCTGAGATGCCACTTATTAAAACTATTGCATCAGCAGTAGACTGATACATTGGCCGGACTGATATTTCCTCATTTTAAGGTGCCTTTTTGATTTCAGAATCTATTTCCCTTGTCATTTCCAAATTTGTGACCCTGGACCACAACACCAGTTCATCTAAAAGCTGAATAAATAAGCTTTCCATTGATGTATGGTTTGTTAGGATAGGACAATATTTAGCCGAGATACAACTATTTGAAAATCTGGAATCTGAGGGTGCAAAAAAATCTAAATATTGAGAAAATCATCTTTAAAGTTGTCCAAATTAAGTTCTTAGCAATGCATATTACTAATCAAAAATGAAGTTTTGATATATTTACGGTAGAAAATGTACAAAATATCTTAATGGAACATGATCTTTACTTAATATCCTAATGATTTTTGGCATAAAAGAAAAATGGATAATTTTGACCCATAAAATGTATTGTTGGCTATTGCTACAAATATACCCCAGCGACTTAAGACTGGTTTTGTGCTACAGGGTCACATTTTAGAATCTAAAGTCTACCAACAGCCTTGTCACTCAGTGCATAATATATAATATAATACATATTTGTAAAACAAGGTTTCTCTTTGTTATAATTTTATTCGCCTAAGTGGTCATTGGCTACACTGTTCGCGATTTATCATTATCGGTTATTAAAAAAACTCATTCTATTGACCATTAGTTTAAAAAAAGTTGACAGTGTCCAAGATATGAGTGCTCATTTGTCTGTGCTTATGCTAGTTTTTACATTTGTACGTCCTTTTGGATGAAGAGACAAAATATTGATCTCTTGCTTTGTAATGCCTTTTTGTTTGAGTTTTCTTACTAGTTGATTGTCAACCTTGCACATCTGCAGCCACCCCACTCTGTGGAGGCCAGAGTACGGCAGCTACATGATCGAAGGGACCCCCGGGCAGCCGTACGGAGGGACCATGTCGGAGTTCAACACGGTGGAAGACAACATGGGAAAGCGGAGAAGAGAAGCCGCATCTGTGCTTAATAAGAACGAGACTCTCCTCACAGTTACATCATTTCCCAGGTAGTTATATCATCAACCCTTAACTGTAATCCAATAGTAATATCCATATCCACCTGAAGTTGTGCAAGCATTGCCAAATGTGACCCTGGACCACAAAACCAGTCATAAGAGTCAATTTTACGAAATTGAGATGTACGCAGCATCTGAAAGCTGAATAAATAAGCTTTCCATTGATGTATGGTTTGTTAGGATAGGACAATATTTGGCCGAGATACAACTATTTGAAAATCTGGAATCTGAGGGTGCAAAAAAATCTAAATGTTGAGAAAATCGCCTTTAAAGTTGTCCAAATGAAGTCCTTAGCAATGCATATTACTAATCAAAAATTAAGTTTTGATATATTTACGGTAGGAAATTTACAAAATATCTTCATGGAACATGATCTTTACTTAATATCCTAATGATTTTTGGCATAAAAGAAAAATCGATAATTTTGACCCATACAATGTGTTTTTGGCTATTGCTACAAATATACCCCAGCGACTTAAGACTGCTTTTGTGCTCCAGGATCACAAATGGCCGTTAAGGGTGTCTTTGCATGTAGATTCAGGGTTTCGCATTGGGCACAGAACTTTTATTATTATTATTATTATTATTATTATTATTATATTATAACAGTTTTCTTGATGTAAGATGTTTTTCCTGGTGATATTGTGTTAGTGGGTGACCTTTTTCAGGGCTTAAAGTTCTCCGGCACCGGAAACACAAATTTACCGGGATTTTTGAAAAGGTCCTGTTCACACATGATCTCTTAATGGTAACTTACCGGTAATTTACTGGTAATTTACCGGCAAAGACTGTATGTGTGAAAGGGGCTAAACTCTTCCTCTATATGCTGTGAATTTGAATTGCTTAATGTTCATCTGGGAAAACAGTGTGCATTATCTCACTAGATTTGTAACGTAAATCATTTATAAACCTTTGCCAACACAGGAGAATACATCAACCTATTTCTAAATATGCAATTTATTGTACATCGCGATTTCAAAATAAAAGTTTCTGAGTTTCCATGTGCCCAGATATTAAAATTGAATGGATTTAAACATCGTTTAATCACGCTGTAAAGTAAAAAATGTCACCAGGCCGTTGCCGCCCTCTGCAGGTATTTGTTATAATACATAATGTACTTAAGTTGGTTATGTTCATATTATGCATAGGCATATTACATTATGTATTTTAACAGTGTTGTTCAATAAAACCATGTAATTACTTGGTT